AGATTGACTTAGTGGTCTTTGGCGAGACCTGTACATCCGCGTGGAGCTGGGAAGCGGTACATGTGAGCTCATCCGGGTCACACTAACTCACAGGTCTTCTACAAGGTGGTCGGTGAGAACCAGTTGATTCCCCCACCAGGCCGAACTGCGCCTAAATTTCTTCCTGAGCGTGCAGCTAGAAGGGATCCTTCAGAGGAACAAAATGCTGCATGAGCCAAACATGGGGTTTCCCGCACGTCAACCCTCCCCAAACGAGTCAGTAAGTCGATTAAATAGACTACTGTCCTTGAGGTACTCCTTCCTTGAAGGGTCATGCACTCTACCTCAACTCAGCATTGTAGTGGAATTCTGGACAATACAGAAACTAGCTGGGCCAACCGGTTACACAGGCCAGTGTTTCCGATCTCCCACTACAAACCTGACCCGAAGAGATGAAATGCTTAGGCAGCGTTCAGACTTCGCGATGGCAGCGCTTCGGTCGCGCGTTCGACGCGATCGATGCAGTCGAAAGCATGCGCATCGATCGTCGAATCGCGCGACCGAAGCGCTGCCGTCGCGAAGTCTGAACGCTGCCTCAGGCGATCCGAACAGGAACCGATGAACAACACCACCACCGGGCAAAAAACTCACGTCATCTTCCTCTTCACTTTCATCTTCATCCTCATCAGATCCTTCCTCTTCCTCCAGTTCAGCCAACTCCAGCCTCTTCTTGATATCGTTATCGTCAACATCGGTGACGACGCGAGCCTGGAAATAAGATAGCTATAGAATATGGAGCAACGTCAAGAAGAAAAAAACGAGATAAAAAAAGTCTAAACTGCTCACCTCTTCTTTGATAGAAAATTTCCCTCCATATTTTTCTATGGTCTGCTTAACAACATCTAGCGCTGCATTAACAGCAGTGAGCCCGTGTTCTCGATCAAGCGTCTGTGTCGTTACGACAAAATGTGGAGCAGCAATGAGGTTGATCTGAAAGATGGAGCGAAGATGAAACCTGGGAACCTTTATCAAAACAATATACGGCCAGGGCTCTTGTCAACGAAGCATGCTAGGTGCGAGAGTCCAGCGGTTCTCATGGCATCTACTGACCCAGTAGTTGAAGGAAGAAGGCAAGGGAGGAGGGAACAGAGAAGGAAGGTAGGCAAGAAGCGTAAAGGAAGAAAAGGAAAGAGAGGAGACCGCCGCGTTAGCAGTGTTCTGAGACGCCTTTCAGTCAACAAGCACGAAAGGAAGAGCACGAACACTTTTTTACTACTTCAACGTTCGAAGGCCTACAAGAATAAAAAAAAACAACAACAGCTACACAGCGCGTGTTTTGTGCGCAGCGTCGTAGAGCGACCTCGAGTGCTCGTCTTACACGTCTTCTGGCAACGAAGGACATGTCCCGCAATGCGACTGGTCTAGGCCACTTTCTTATCTCTGCTGAGGCAGCAGGTTGAAGGAGAATGAAAAGAAGACGGACGATAGAAGCCTTGTCAAAAAAAGAAGGAAAAAAAGGAAAGAGAATCGGGAGCTTTGCAGCTGAAAGTATCTCAGGAGCGGATCGTACAGATCCGGATCACGTTCGATTTTCTGCGGAATTACTGGTTTCCTGCTTTTCCGACACTTTTTTTGGAAAACGCAGGGTCTCAATTGCACCAAAGACACGAGAAGTCTGAAGAAGTATGTGTGCCTGCCAGGCGATTTACTTTAGGGTTGTCGTTGAAGTTTCGCTTTTGCTTTATTGTCTTTGTGGTGTCGTTTATCGGTTACAGGCTTCGTAAGTGGACACTGACTATCCAAAATAGTTGACGAAGGAAAATTATCCTGACAACATTCCCATCTGTTACGGTATGGTTGTAGCAAGCACACCCGAAATTTCATTGGAAAACTATGAAGGCGGTGCTCTACCTTGATCGGCATGGAATCTGTTGAACAGTTTTTGCCAGCAATTAGCGCTTCTTTAATCGCGTCAATACCATCATAGGAGAAACACGATACCTCAATATCTGCTCGTATCTGTAATGTAGGAATTACTCGTACATGACAGCTGGAAATATCCCCATAAGCAACAAAGTAGAAACAAAACATTCTTGGAAGTGTACTTACCTTTACCGCCTGTGGGGTAAGCTTCTTCCTGATGTCTTCCAACAGAGCTTCTCTAACCTCAGGAGAAATGTCGCATTCGTCCAGTACGTGAGGTTCTCTATAATGGACAAACATGACAACAAGCAGGTACTTACAGTCCATGTCTAGGGTATACGCGGCTGCGAGAGCAGCGAGGGTCCAGACGAAAGAAAGGAAGCAGACGTAAGAGAATAGGGTCGACAAAGGAATACGCATGCCATCGGCTGGACGCCCTTTGTTGAACTCCGATATAAACGATACCAACAATTACATTCTTTCCTCCGTATTTCTGATCGACAACTTCAAATTCAGCTTTCACGACACCCCCCCCCTCTGGGCAGCTTGCGCCTGCTGCATTGAAGAATGACCAAAATGATCAAACATACGCGATTGCTCGCTTGAAGACATCGTAAGCAGCGGCTTTCTTCTTCTCTTTCCTATCAAAATGCCACGCTGTTTTCATGTATAGGTCCTGAATATTTTACATCAAGAGCCGTCACAAATAAATTACGAGAGAAATTCTATCGGAATACAAAATATGGCAGTCGGAGAAATAAAACTAACCTCCAACTGCTCGTCTTTGTCGTAACCAAGCTGTTCAGCAACATGCCGTAAAATGCTGAAAATAAATCCAAGTATTAGTGAAAAACCCAAACGAATGCCAGCGAACTGTTTCAGCTCAGCACCAAGATTGATAACCATTTTCATTCGGCCGGCGTTTCGGCGTTGTCGCTTTCCTCAGAGCCTGGAAAGTCGAAAGGACATTTCAGAAACTCTTCGTTCACCCAAAAGGATCATAAACTACTATGATGACGTCATGGATACTACGAGAACCAATCTTAAGGAATGTCGTTCGAAGAGATCCACCTGTTACCCCGAGTGACAAGTGCTGTGGTTTTATAGATATGCCTCCAGGTCATTTGCCTAAGGAACCTCTTGAGGGTTGATCATGTAGATCAAACTCCTCCAGGCCAAGCGCATTGCTAAACTCGTCTAACCACATATTACTGCTTACTTTACAACCTACCAGGCCCACCGCAAGAGACCTCGGGGGTCGACCCCGCACAGACCTGCAACTCTGTAGCAACCGCCGCACACTCTTTCCTCCTATTGACCTTAGGGGTCTTGGACATGATCCAGAAGGCCTCTAAGGTTCTCCGCGCCGCAATGTCGGATTCCCGTGATAAGATCGTGACCGTAACCTCAAAACATGCGTTACACCGCACCTATCCTCCCCCAGAGGAGTAACGACTTTGGACCTTTTCATGCAAAGGTGTTCTTTCACAGATATAAAGAGGCCTGCCCGTTTCCCCAATGAACTCCTCTTTGCACAGACAGTATATTATTGAGCACACTACGCTCCATGCCACGCAGTCCCCTTCCTTTCCAAACGTGCATATGACGCACGAAGGTAATTTGAAATAGTAAGTGGGCGAAGAGTTTCTAAAATGTCCTTCAATTTTTCAGGTCTCTGAAGAAGGCGACTACGCC